TGGAGTGGCTCACGCCTGTAATCCCAGCACTTTTGGAGGCCGAGGTGGGTGGATCATTTGAGGTCTGGAGTTTCAGACCAGCCTTGACCAACATGGTGAAATCTCATCTCTTCTAAAAATACAAAAATTAGTGCTCGCTTCGGCAGCACATAAACTAAAATTGGAACGATACAGAGAAGATTATCATGGCCCCTGCACAAGGATGACACACAAATTCATGAAGTGTTCCATATTTAAAAAAATAAAAATTTTTTAAAAAGCCAGACGTGGCAGCTCACGCCTATAATCCTAGTTATTTGGGAGGCTGAGGCGGGAGAATTGCTTGAACCTGGGAGGCAAAGGTTGCAGTTAGCCAAGATTGTGCCACTGCACTCGAGCCAGAGTGAGACCCTGTCTCAAAAAAAAAGTCTTTGGCTTGGCATGGTGGTTCATGCCTTCAATTCCTTGGGAGGCCAAGCATTCTAGGGAGGCCAAGGTGGAGGAATTGCTTGAGCCGAGAAGTTTGAGACCAGCCTGGGCAACATAGCAAAACCCATCTCTACCAAAAAACAAAAACAAACAAAAAAAAAACCCTGGGCATGGTGGCACATGCCTGTAGTCTAGCTACTTGGGAGGGTGAAGTGGGAGGATCACTGGATCTGGGAGGCCATTGTAGTCAGCCTTGAGAACAGCGTCAGACCCTGGGTCAAAGGAAAAAATGTCTTCCTCATTCCTGAAAGGGGAAATGGGAAAGAAAATTAAAAATAACTTTTTGAAAGGTATTTTTTGGGCCGCACATGGTGGCTGACACTTGTAATCCCGGCACTTTTGGGAGGCTGAGGTGGGTGGATTGCTTGACCCCAGTAGTTCAAGACCAGCTTGGGCAACATGACAAAACCCTGTCTCCAAAACAAACAGATCTTCTATTGGCTTAAAACAGTGCTGGCCCGAATAAAACACAAATTCCATCAGATATAAAACAGCTGAAAATCTATTTAGGATTGAGTTTTCTTAAAAAAAAAAAAAAAAAAAACTACAAAGTTTGTTTTACAGCTTTTTTTCCAGCACTGTAGACGTGTGTGTGTGTGACACGCCTGTGTGTGTGTGTGTGTGTGGAGAGAGAGATGCACCTAGCTTTAAACATTCAGCCTAGTTTGGAACGCTAAGCCACATATCATACATAAATAGGTCAGTGGCATCGTCATGAAAACTTTTTCCATTAACTTTATTTCAAAAGCTTTGTCTTTCCATTTTGAATCATAAATGTACCAATTCTAATATGCCCCATCAACTTTTTTCTCTCAGCCTTTGAAAATCATAGTTTTCTCACAGAAAGCTAGTTTTTGGTTTTTTGCTGCTTTTGGAGAAAATGAAATTCCCCCATGACACAGTGTTCTTGGTGCTCGACCTGCCTGTGCCTCTGCTTCGCTCTTCGGTGGCTTCGGTGGTTTGGGTTATAGATGTGCACCTGTCCTCCTCGCGTGGACGACCTCCCGCAGGGCCATTTCCATCCATCCTAACAGCTTGGGAAGTTACAGCTGCCAGTGCAGTTCAGGGAAATAGTCATTTACTCGATGCGTGACAGAATAAGTATTAGAACTGGAGCTTGAATTCTGTTCTTCTGACAGAATCTGCCTTTACCACAGGTGATCCCTGTGGATGTAGGTTGGGAAGGCACCGCTGTCTATTACCGTCCTCCCCCCAGAGCCCCAGCTGCGTTTGCCTTTGAACCATGCGAGGAAGCCCAGGATAGTACGTTGCGAGCCCCTGCACTTTGCTTGTGTGCAAGCCTGACGCCTCTGTCTGCGGGCTCTTTTTGTCTCTGTCCCCTCAAGATTCTCCACTTGTCTTGCATCTGAACCCCGTCGTCTCACTGGCTCACCCCTCTTAGTTCATGCTCATGCTCAGGTCACTCACTTCAAAACGTGAGCACATCCCAGTCCCTCCCTCCACCCTGCCTCTCCTTCACAGCAAAGCTTCTCAAAAGAGTAGGCGTACTTCACTTTATTCCTGTTTCCTCAATCCACTTGATTCTAGCGTTGGTTCCTACCTTGTCATTAGAATTCTTGTTACCAAGTGATTTGATATCTCCCAATTTACTCATCAGGTGGTCAGTTAAAAATCTTCCTTGACCCATTGTACCATCTGGCACAGACTTTCCTCAAAGCCTTTCTTCTCAAGCCTTCTGTGTTCCTGTTAAGCCTTGTAACTCTCTGCCTGCTCCATGCCTTTCTGGCTTCTTTGCTTCCATCGCTCCTTAAATGCTGAGTTTCCTTGGTTCTGTCTTGATTGGCACTTTTGGCCACAGCTCCTTCCTCCACACCGTGTACATCCCTCCCTGCTGGATTACTCCAGCTCAGACCTTATGTGTGAACGCTTTTTTGATTGTTAATGATATTGCCATCTACCCAATCATGGAATCCTGGAGTCCTCTTTATTCTCCCATACCCTGCGTGTAGGCAGTCTCCATGTCCTGCCTGTTCTACCTTCATCCTTTCATACCTGTGAAAACTTTGTGTTCTGTAGCCAGGTCCCAGCAACTTGGGAGGCTGAGGCAGGAGGATCACTTGATCCCAGGAGCTCGAAGTGGCAGTGATGCAGTGAGCTATGATCACGTACCACACTCTCCAGCCTGGGCGATAGAACAAGACTTCACCTAAAACACACACACACACACACACACACACACACACACACACACACACACCTTTGTTCTTTACCTTTTGGCTCAGCAATTCTAGGGTTTTATTGTGCAGAAATTACCAGAAAGTGTGTAAGGATGCTTACTGTAGCATTTTGTCCTCAATCCTCATAGGTAGGGAGTTTATTAAATTGTAGTACATTCATGGTAAGCAGATTGTGTTTTAAAAAAAAAGGACTGACATCATTTTGTAGGTTCTGGCATTTAAAATGTCCCCAAATATTATGTGTGTGAAAAGAGTCATAGTACAGAAACATGTTTATAACCTTATTTTAGAAGTTGTGCGTACGTATAATGTTCTGTGAACAGTGTAGAATCATATGGATTTATACAGTATTCTAGATAATACACTCATATATAGGACATTTTGCACGTTTCTATATATTGTCTTAGCTGGGTATAGCAGAAGATCTAAAAATAACAGCAGCCTATAGCCAAAGAAGAATAGCGTGAGGGAATTTTGACTTTTTAAATTTATGTTTGTATTGCTTTTACAGGAATTGGATTTTTCCAAAGAAAGAAGAAATTGTTCTTTCATTCCCCACCTCCAATTTTCTCCGTCTAGCTGTCCTTCATAACACAACTGTAGATATTAGGTAGCCTTAGCATGTTCCTGGAGGCATGCTCTTTCACTTTCTTGTTTTAAATTCCTACCATGTGTTTTGAGGGAGAGGGCGGCAAGAATATAAGACATGTTTGGAGTGGGGGAATATCCATTATATCATGAAAATTTGGGGCAAAAAATCTGTTTTAAAAATGCCTGTTCTGTTCTGTCCTCTCCCCGCTTTGTCTCAGTCATGGCCCAGATCATCGTCCCTTCCCACCACAGTAACCTGCTAACTGGCCTGTCACTTCCATTCAGTAAACATATGATTGCAGGCTTGCTGTGTGCCAGGCACAGGGCGAGGCTGGGGATGAAAGGTGAATAAACAGGTGCAGTGTAGTCGGGGTGACGACTACAGACGGCCATTTCCACGTAAGTGGAATGGTACAGATATGGTCCAGTGGGTCGCTCCTGGCTGAACCTGGAGGTGCAGGCAGGTTTTCTAGAAGGCGTAATCCTGAAGTTGAGACTTGGGGGCCTAGGTAAGAGCCAGCTGAAGGGCCATGGGTGACACATTACATAGAGGAGTAAGTGTGAGCAGTGTTGCATGGTGAGACAGCAGCAGACAGTTGTGCTTTTGTATTTGTTTTTTGAGACAGGGTCTTGTTCTGCCACTCAGGCTGGAGTGCAGTGGCATGATCTTGGCTCACTGCAACCTCCATCTCCCTGGCCCATGCGGTCCTCCCACCCCAGTCCCCAAGTAGCTGGGACCACAGGTACATGTCAGGATGCCCGGCTAATTTTTATTTTGTAGAAACAGGGTTTCACTGTGTTGCCCAGGCTGGTCTTGAACTCCTGAGCTCAAGCAATCTACCTACCTTGGCACCCCCAAAGTGCTGGGATTCCAAGGCATGAGCCACCATGCCTGGCCTGGCAATTGTTACTAGACTGAAGAGAGGGAGGTGGGGAAGGGCTGGTGACACTAGACGGGTGCAGTGTGCCTGGACCACAGGTGGCCTTGCACTGCACATGACAGAGCTCAGGCTTTATTCTGCCAGAGATAGGGCTGGCACCACTGAGGCATGAGGGAGAGGTTTGAGATCTCCTTGGAGACAGTGTGGAGGACAGGTAGATTCTAGGGTTCAAGCTTAGACTCAAACTCACTTTGGAGACTCAGGTAGCTCAGCTGATAGACACTGAGGGCCTGACCTCAGGCAGTCATTCCAGGGACGTAGGGGAAGAGATGGATTCTGCACTTGCTTCAGAGGCTTGTGGAGGATTGGGGGGAGGCACAGGGAGGGCTCCAGGGTGGTTCATAGACCCCTGCTCCTGTGCCTGCCCTCCTTTGTCAGGCTGTGGCCTGCACTGCATGTTCCATCTTGTTTCTAAGCTGCTTTTGCCCAGTCTTTCCCTTTCTCTGTGTTGATCTGGGCCGGTCCGCGCGAACTATGCTGATATTTATTGGGCCTGGCACTGGGGGGTGCTGGGATGTGAAGATTAGTGTGGTTCGGCCGCCGCTTTCAAGGGCCTCCGGGGTGTAGCATGCGTGCCTCTGCCTCCTGTTTGCTCAGGAAGAAGATGGGCTTTGCGATTAGTAGGCTGGGGCTGACATCCCCACCTTCTCATTGGGGTGGCTTTGGGTAAGTTACTTTCTGAGTCTTCCTTTCCTCGTTGGTAAAATGGGCACAGGATACCTCCCAGTGGAGGGTTGTTGTAAATAGCCATGGAAAATGTAAAGCACACAGCACTTACCGTATTTTCCTGTGCATTCGACAGATTTACCATAGAATCCCCGACTCAGACCCATCTTCCAGTAAAACGAGGCAGATCATCTCCACCATCCGGACGCAGAATCTTCCCAACTGTCAGCTGATCTCCCGAAGCCACTACTCCCCCATCTACCTGTCCTTTGTCATGCTCTTGGCTGCCCTGAGCTTGCAGTACCTGACCACACTCTCCCAGGTCACGGAAGACTATGTTCAGACTGGAGAACACTGATCTCAAATCTGTCAGGAAGCTGAAGTTCACCATGAAATGGATTTACTTTTTTTCTTCAAGGATGGATGTTGGCTTCTACTTTTTTCCCTTCTACTTTAATCCCTAAAAGAACTCTGTGTGGCTGGGACCTTTAGGAAACTGAAATGCAGTTGAGAAGAATATAAACACGAAAGGAAAAGGAAAGGGTGGCTCACCGCAGCAACCTGTGCTTGGGGGAGGTGACTGTGCTGCTTGTGGCTCAGGTCAGAGCATTCTGTGCCATGCTTTAGTTGAAATGGCTGCATATGGGACTGTTATGAGGTCTTATTTAGTGTGATCCTGGCTAGAAAATTAATTAAAGTAATTTGAAGCAACCTTTGAATGTTAATCGTAGAAGATGAATTTACTTTCTGTTCAGTTCCTATTTTTATCATTTTGTTTTCTTTAATTGGATTGAATGGAGTTGATAGAAATATTTGTGGTTTAGGTAATACTTTCATGTTTCCTAAGGAGGCCAACTGCCTTTTGCATTATGAAGCCTGGGAATAAAATTCTGGGTGTTCTAGTATGATTTTTTCATTCAAAGGGAGTTTAGTTTTGAGAGAGAAACAGCAGGATTGCCTTTGACCCCATTTTACAAGATTGGCCTCCAGCAAAGGTGGACATTTTTGAGATTTTTATAATAAATAATGTAATTGCTCTGCATTTGTCAAGTACAGTTCACTTGAAAGCCTGCCTGCTTGTGGGAAAGATGGAGCTCAAGAATGGAGTTGGTGGCCCAGCGTGGTGGCTCATGCATCTAATCCCAACACTTTGGGAGCGCAAGGCAGGCAGATCACTTGAGGTCAGCAGCTCGAGACCAGCCTGGCCAACATGGCGAAACCTCATCTCTGCTGAAAAAATACAAAAATTAGGTGGGTGCGGTGGCTCACGCCTATAATCCCAGCACTTTGGGAGACCTTTGGGAGACCAAGGCAGGTGGATCATTTGAGGCCAGGAGTTTGAGACCAGCCTGGCTAGCATGGTGAAATCCTGTCTCTACTAAAAGTACAAAAATTAGCTGGGCATGGTGGGACTATAAACGCCTATAAACCCAGCTACTCGGGGCTGAGGCAGGGGAATTGCTTGATTCTGGGAGGTGGAGGTTGCAGTGAGCCAAGATCGTGCCATTGCACTCCACACTGGATGACAGAGGGAGACTGTTTCAAAGAAATTTTAAGGTTTATTTCCCCTGCAGCAGCTTTTCTTTTTTAAAATTATTCAAGTCTCAGGACGGGCAGAAGCTGTCTTCAGGTGATTGGCTTGGGAGCAGAATGGTACTTCTGCTGCTTAGGGTTTGATCTTCCCCTCTACCCCATTGTGGCAGAGCCTGTGATGTGCTGTCACTGAGGTGCTCAGCATGGAAAGGAGGGCTGTGGACCCTCGGGTTGAGAATCAGTGCACTATGGCATTCAGCACCTTCTAGAAGCCATTAATGCTACAGGTGCTTGTAGTGTATAGTCTGCTCTTCTGCAGCCCGTCGTGGATGCTGGCTTCATCATCCAGTTTGTAACGTTGGATTTACATTGTTGTAAACACACTTTCTTCCTGTGACCACTAATACCAAAATTAGTTTGGGCCCAGGGAGACGTCAGTTAATTGGTTCATCTGAGGCTTAGCCCTGGACATATTTGTCATCAGCCAAGATAACTTGCCACGTGGAATACAGCCAGACCAGCGGTCCCCAATCCCCAGGCCTGGGACGGGTACTACTCCTACTGTTCAGTGGGCTGTCAGCAACTGCGCATCGCGGCAGGAGGTAAGTGGCAGGTGAGTGAACACGGCTCCCTGAGCTCCACTCGGCATTAATTCTCATACGTGTGACTGCGCACGTGAGGGATCTAGGTTGCATGTTCCTTATGAGAATCTAATGCCTGATGACCTGAAGTGGCAGTTTCATCCCAGAACCATTCCCTCCGTCGTGGGAAAATTCTTTATGAAACCCGTCCCTGGTGCCGAAAAGGTTGAGACAGCTGAGCTAGACTTAACAGTATTTTCCAAGAAATTTCAGCCTCAAAACTTGGTTCGAGATTTCAAGGCAGGTTGTTACAAATCTGTGTGTTGAAATCTAAGATTGTTCTGCTAAGGTTCACGTAAGACAACCTGCTGGAAAGAGCTTTGGTCTGAGCGGGGCCTGTGGGACGCTTCTCTCCTGACTGCTTGGTCATCACCTGTGTGACCACTTCCTGAGCTGTGTGGTTTGGGTGATCTTAGGTTTCTTCTATCTATAAAGCTCGGTACCTTTTCTGCCATCACTGACGTGTAAAAGGTATTCGCTCTGATTCCATTCTGAAGCTCTTTGAAAGCTTGTTTTCCTTTTAAGTATCGTCTCTACTAAGGTTTCCAGATAAAATATGGGATGCTGGGCATGTTGCCTGACACTTGTGATCCCAGCTACTTGGAGGGTGTGGGGGCTGAGGCAGGAGGATCACTTGAGCCCAGGAGGTTGAGGCTACAGTGAGCTGTGTTTGTGCCATTGCACTCTAGCCTGGACAACAGAATAAGACCCTGTCTCAGTATAAAAATAAAATACCAACTATCATTATATATATATAAACAAAACACAGGATGCTCAGTTAAGCTTGAATTTCAGATAAACATTTTTTCAAGACGGAGTATCACTCTGTTGCCCAGGCTATTGTGCAGTGGTGCAATCTCAGCTCACTGCAACCTCTGCCTCCCAGGTTCAAGTGATTCTCCTGCCTCAGCCTCCAGAGTAGCTGGGATTATATGCACATGCTGCCATGCCCGGCTAATTTTTGTATTTTTAGTAGAGATGGGGTTTTGCCATGTTGGTCAGGCTGGTCTCAAACGCCTGACCTCAGGTGATCTGCCCACCTTGGCCTCCCAAAGTGCTGGAATTATAGGTGTGAGCCACAGCACCCAGAAAAATCTTTTTTAGAATTATACTCCAAATATTGCATGGGACATATTTAGACTAAAAAAATTGCTTGCATGCCTGGGCACTGTGACTCACACCTATAATCCCAGCGCTTTATGATGCCAAGCAGGTGGATCACCTGAAGTCAAGAGTTCGAGACCACCCTGATCAACATGGCGAAACTCCATCTTTATGAAAAATACAGAAACTAGCCGGGCTTGGCACATGTCTGTAGCCCCAGCAACTCGGGAGGCTAAGGCATGAGAATCGCTTGAACCCTTGAGGCAGAGGCTGCAGTAAGCCAAGATCATGCCTAGGTGACAGAATGACTGTATCAAAAACAACAAACCCCAAAACCCTTGCATATCTGAAAATTCAAAAGTAACTGGGCGTCTTGTATTTGTTTGCTAGATCTAGTAACCCTACCCTCTACTCCCACTTCTATTATCATTCTATAGTACGTCTGGCATACAGTCTATTTGGATCCTACCTAATGGTAGAATATTTTGAGGAGCCTCTGACTCATCTGAATCTAGGAGCGTAAACAATTACATCGGTTGGGAGTATGAGCTTGACGTCTGCACATGGGAACTCCCGGATCCCTGTGGGTGAGTACGAGGAAGTGCCCCTCTTCCACCTATGAGCCATTTCCCAGGGGCTCAAGGGTATGACTAGGAGGAAGAGGGCGAGTCAGGCATGCTAACAAGCATTCTCGGTTGCTACTGGCAGTTCAGAAGTAGTTAAGGCTGTGGTTTTCAGGTTTTTTATCAGAATTGCCTGATTGCTGGGACCAGATTTGGATACAGTAGATCTGGTGGGGTGACCAAGAGCTTGGATTCCTAAAATCTGACAGCCTCCTAATCAGGGAGCAGTTAGAAAGGGCTTCTGGGCTTGAATGTACTTAGGAATCACCTGGGGTCTTGCGAGACGCAAATGCTGGTTCAGAGGTCTGGTGTTCTCACACTCAGCATTTTGTTTGAGATTGAGTCTCACTCTCATCATGTAGGCTGGAGTGCAGTTGCGTGAACTCAGCTCACTGCAGCCTCCACCTCCCAGGTTCAAGCGATTCTGCTTCAGCCTCCTGAGTAGCTGGGATTACGGGCACGGGCCACCATGCCCGGCTAATTTTTTTTTCGTATGTTTAATAGAGATGTGGTTTCACCATGTTGGCCAGGCTGGTCTCCAATTCCTGACCTCAGGTGATCCACCTGCCTCCGCCTCCCAGAGTGCTAGGATCATATACAGGCCTGAGCCACCGCTCCCGGCCCACGCTCAGCATTTCTAATAGGCTCTTACATGATGGCCATGTTCCTGCTCCGTGGACCACTTGAGTATGGCTCTCTGAGGCACATGCAAGGGGGCAAATTATTGTTTTCCTTGAAAAAACAGGCATGAGCCTATAATCCTAGCACTTTGGGAGGCAGAGGCAGGTGGATCACTTGAAATCAGGAATTCAAGACCAGCCTGGCTAACATGGCAAAACCCCGTCTCTACTAAAAATACAAAATTTAGCCAGGTGTGGTGGCAGGTGCCAGCTATGCAGGAGGATCGCCTGAACTCAGGAGGCAGAGGTTGCAGTGAGCCAAAACTGCGCCACTGCACTCCAGCCTGGGTGACACAGTGAGACTTGGATTGCCTATCTATACTTCGATTTCCATTCTGGAGTGTGTCAAAGCAGCCTTTCTATGGGTAAACACTGAAAAGGTATTGTTACCTCCACCTGTCATGTTACTGGGGTAATCTGAGGTGTACTGAAGCACTGAGCTGTGTCCCAGACAGACACTGCAAGGCAGGTTTTTCTGACAGCCCTAAGCTGAGGTTGAAATGCCCCACAGTTCCTTCTGTCACTTCACTAGCTCCAGGCAGGGATGGAGTTGCAGGTGCGTACTCGATGGAGGTGAGGGAGGCAGTGTGAGTGGAATGATTCAACCCAATCTGGGAGCAGGTAGAACTTTATTGAGGTTATGAATATATTCTAGGAGAAGCTGGAAGAATAAGCGGTTATGAATCTGCGGCTCTGGTAACCCTTGTTAAGCATCTCTCAAGTGCCGTGATGGGCCTCACAACTGTTCCCTGCAATGTTTCTCAGAGTTTCAGAGCTTATTTGATTGAGCTTCTGATTCCTAACTTCTGGGTCACATCAGAAGCAAAACTTGAATGCTTTTGGAAAGAGCTAGCCCCATCCAGCCTCAGTAGGGAAGGGTGATACTGAGGTGTATCTTGACAGGACAGTAGAGTGACCGCTGGTTCTTCGAGATTCCTCTACTCTTGCAAGAACTGGTGTAAAACGATTCTAAACCAGGCCTATGCAGAGCACGAGACTTCTTGACCAGCAATGCAAACCAGTGGCATACAGATTCAAAATACTGTGTACAGGCTGACTCGGCCCCTCTGGAAGGCATCTGGGGGATGTGGCCCTCCACGGGATGGCATCTTGGTTATGTGAGATCACCAAGATACCAGGCCTGTTTCATGAGAATTCTCAGGTCACTGCTGGATTTGTGGCTAATAAAAAATAGAGGCCAGGCACGGTGGCTCACCCTGTAATCCCAGCACTTTGGGAAGCTGAGATGGGTGGACCAGCTTGAGGCCAGGAGTTTGAAATTGGCCTGGCCAACATGGTCAAACCTTGTATATACTTAAAAATATAAAAATTAGTTTGGCATGGTGGTGGGTACCTGTAATCCCAGCTACTCGGGAGTTTGAAGCAGGAGAATAGCTAGAACCTAGGCGGTGCAGGTTTCAGTTAGCTGAATTTGCACCACTGCACTCCATCGCCGATGACAAAGTGAGATTCTGTCTCAAAAAAAAAAAAAAAACCACCACCACAGCTCTGTAGTTAGTTCTTAAGGGCAAGCTCATCAAGGACTTACACAGATGGTTGATGGGGATGCAGTGGGAAGTTAAGCTGAGGTCCCAAGAATCCTGAGGGCATGCAGTCCCTGGGTGTGATTCTCTGCAGGGCTGAGGATGGCAGTGACAAATGACCTCTGAGATGCCATCAGAGCCGACTTTGAGTTGAAGGACAAACCTTTTATTGGCACAGGCATTCCTTAACTTGACAGCGTGAAGCAGGAATTTTTGAAAAACAGTAAAAGCTGGTTTCTCCTACACTAGTTTCATGGTGGTAGTAGAGATCAGGGTCGGAAGCAAGTCACAGCCACTAGGTTTCGTTCTGAGCCATGCTGTTAGGAGGCAATCTGTAAACTAGCACGGCCTCCCACTGTTGCACTCCTTTATCCGCGTGACCAGCAGTGTGCACGAAAAAGAAAACTATTAAAAAAGAATCATGCTGAGGCCAAGATCAGAGTTTCTGACACTGCAAACCTCGACAGATGCAGGGGCCCTGGGAGAATGTGGCTTCTCCACAGGGCTCCAAACACCATCTGTCCTCTGATCTTGGAGCAAATGTAGAAAGCTACTTGCTTAGAGGTACTGCTGAGGGGGGAACTTGAATCCTGATAGGAACTCTGCTTTCTATTCCTGAGCCTCCGTCTTGCTCCTGGAGATGGATGGATCAGGGATGGGGCAGCAGGCACTCCCTACAGCACTAGTCATGGGGAAAGGAGCTCCGTGCTGGCAGCAGTGGCTCACGTGGCTTAACTGTCTACACTGCAGCCATCAGTCCACTGAGCAGGCTCGGAGGTAGCCGGGAGTCTCCTTGGAAAACAGCTCTGATGGTTGATATGAGGTTTGGCCAGTCCAGTTCTTTAGGCCCTGTATCTTACAGGGACGCAAAGATTAAGACATTTCTACCCCCATCCCTGACTCTGTGCAGGGAAAACTACCCCAGGACAGGACCACAGCAGATTAGATATTTCTCCAGTACTGATCGGTGCGTGGAATTCCAGCCACCACTTCTGATTCGATTCCACAGTGATCCTGTCCTCTGAGGATTTTAAAGAAGCCTGGGAATAAAAAAAGGTGCTTTTAAAATGTGACAAGGGTCGGTATATTCAGACTCATCCCTAAAAAAGCTGGGAGTAAGTCTCTAACCCCCGACAGCTCCTGCTGTTTGCTCAGTAGCGCGGCCCTCACACCATGGGGCACACCTCCGCCCGCATCACCCTTCCCATCCTGGCCTCTGGCATTTAGAAGGAGCTCACAGCCTGGCCTAGGTCCACAGTTTGAGGCTGTGCAGCAGGTAGAACAGAGAAAGCCAAGATGGCCACTGCGTGTGGCTCCCAGTTCCCCACCACTCACCGTTGTCACCCCAGTCAGTGTTCCAGGAGTTGCCAACCAGCCAGTAGGGCGTGCCATTCTCCACGCCCCAGCCCAGGATGCGGATGGCGTGGCCGCCCATCATCTCGCCAGTGACATGCTGGTATACTCCTGAGTTGGGAAGAACCGGTCAGAAGTGAGACCCGGCCACTGCCCCGTGCCCCACAGCACCCCTCCGGGCAGGAGAAACTAAGGGCTTGTCAAAAGGGTTACATGGCTTAAAGAGTTTTAAGGCCGGGTGCAGAGGGTCATGCCTGTAATCCCAGCACTTTGGGAGGCTGAGGCGGGTGGATCAGGAGTTCTAGACCAGCCTGACCAACATGGTGAAACGCTGTCTCTACTAAAAATCAAAAATTAGCTGGGCATGGTGGTGCCCACCTGTAGTCCCAGCTACTCAAGAGGCAGAGGTTGCAATGAGCTGAGATCATACCACTGCACCCCAGCCTGGGCGCTAAGTTTTAAAATAGCTGCTCTGGGTACACCCTGGAGAGGTGACAGAGGAGAAAAGGGAGGGCTGGTGGTGGCCAATATTAGATGGGAAAGAGGCCAGCTAAGATGCTCAGCGCTGCCCAACCAGGTTCGCCCCAGCAGGGAAATCACTGTCAAATAGAAACGCATTTTTTAACAATATGGGCGAGGACTGTGCTAAGAACCACCATCTTTAGTCATTTTTTTCTTGCCAGAATCATTTTCCTTTGTCAAACTGTTTTATAAGAGCTGAGAGCTCTGGAGTTTCCAATCTAGCAAAATATTAATGAGACTCAGCAAAGACTGCTTCTGCAGCAAGATATTTGTTTGAGATGGAGTCCTGCTCTGTTGCCCAGGCTGGGGTGCAGTGGCCTGATTTCAGTTCACTGTAACCTCCGCCTCCTGGGTTCAAGCAATTCCCCAGCCTTAGCCACCTGAGTAGTGACTAGCTGGGACTACAGGTGCACACCACCATGCCTAGCTCATTTTTTGTATTTTAGTAGAGATGGGGTTTCACCATGTTGGCCGGGATGGTCTTGATCTCACGACCTCATGATCTGCCCATCTCAGCCACCCAAAGTGTGGGGTTACAGGCACGACCCACCGTGCCCAGCCTACTGGAGGAGAGATTTCTAAGACAGTACTTGGGGGTAAAGACTATCCAGTTTCCTTCGTTCGAGTCCCTATGGCACTGCCCAGGGCAAGGTCCTCCCTGTGTGTTCATGCACGAGGGTGACACATGATCTACACCTTTGCAAAGACACAGATGAATAAAGTGTGTCACCCAGTGCAGACAAGGAAGACCTGCCCTTATAAGGAGAACATGCTGGGAAAGAATGGAACGCCATGACGGCAAGGGCAGGTGTGGCCAGCCGCCAGCGAGGGGACACCTCCACAGAGAAGACATGTGAGCTGGCTCCTAAGGGATGGGAAAGAACTAGCCAAGATGCCTCCAGAATTCTCTGTGCACAACACAGATGAAAGGCAAGTGGCACAGAAGGTAGACAGAATTGTAAGGGCCCCACACAGCCCTCTCCCCAGCCCCTCACCTGCCTGCCCCGATCAAGTCCTACTGGCCTACCTGAACCCACCTCCCCTGACCCCCACCCACCGCTGCTGTCGGACATCAGCACGCACCTGACTTGTACAGCAGGAAGTCTGCGTACACAGAGAAGGCTCCCTCCACAGGGCCGTTTTTGTAGATCTCGGCCATGATGTCCCTCTCATTGTTTGAGACGCTGTAGGAATCGTATCCTGGAAAATGGACCGAGCCAGGGGTTGGGGAGCGCAGTGACAGTGCCTCCTGCCGCGCCACTCACTGATTCCTGGGGGGCCTCTAGGGGAAGACTGCATCAAAGGGACCTGCCCACCCAGGGGGTTCATTGCAGGCTCCCCAGAGGAAGTAAGGAAGAGGCTAAGGCTGGAAGCTCAGGAGGAAGAGGGGAGCCGTGAGCACGAGGCCCCAGAACAGGCCAAGGTACCCAGGACTCCAGGACATGCCTTCTCTTATAAAATGACAGCTTTGGTCCCTTCCAGGTTGGGAGGGTGGAGGCTGAGTTCACAGTGGATCAGGCAGAAGGTGCACTGTGTGCTGCTGAATCACCCCCGCTGCCGTCTCCATCCTAGGGCTCTTGGGCCCTGCCCTCTTCCCCGCAGCGGCTCCCAGGCTGTTCCCGCCCCTTACCGTAGTGCTTGTCCTGCTTGTAGGTTGGGCTGTAGCCAGGCTCGCAGCTCTTGCTACACTTGGGGGTGTCGCCCTCCCCCGTGCATGGGGGCCGGGAGCCGTTGACGTGGTGCTCACAGGGAGGGATGGAGTAGGGTCTGCACCCTAAGGGGACCCAGAGAAAGCAGAGTCAGCCAACAACCCCCACCAAGAAGCCCCACCGGGCCTGGCAAGGCCAGCCAGGTGCCTGCAGCCCCTGCCACAGAGGCCTGCGTGCACCTTTACCCGGCCCTGTCTCAACATCCACTTTATGAAAGCAAATAAAGCTATAATTCACTGTGTGAACAATCCAGCTAGCCAGACAGGGCCGAGGGCACACACTCACCTACATGGGAGTCATAGAGGCCACCAGAAACCAGGCCTTTTCTCGTCCAGAAGTTCCAAGCTTCGGCAGGATAGCCGCCATTACAGCTGAAAAGAGCGTCTCATGAAAGCTCTGAGAAGCATGAGCTAGAACACTACGTGGAAACCACGTGCCCAAGGTCATTCCTGTACCCTCCCCAACCTCCAGCAAGTAGTGCAGCAGCCCTCCCAGACCCCAAACCCTCCAGAGGACCCTCACTAGATACACAAGGCTTGCGGTGAATCACCCCAATCCCACTGCTGCCCACAAAGATTCTGGGGGACAGAGGCTCTTGTGTCACACCAGACCCAGCTCCAAGCGCCCTTCCGGGACATGCAGCGATTCTCAACTCAGCAGACACTAAGCTTCCCTGAGGCTCTCACAGAAACCCACTGCTACCCGGGACTCTCAATTCACTGGGCTGGGGGGAGGCCCAGGCACGTTTTTTGAAGCCTTCAAACATTTCTGATCTGCAGCTGTGGGCGAACACCACTATGGCAGAACCACAGCCGGTAGCCAGCAGGAAGCTCAGTGCCACCATGTGGCGCCATCCTAATTCCACATAGGAAACGCCTCAAGGTTTCCCCAGGCAGGAAGAGGCAACGAGCATGACACAAACCAGACCAGGGGTCAGACGTGTCACCACATTTTCTGAAACCATCTGTTTTGCCAGGACGCCACTCCTCAGACAGCTCTGCAGGCCAGCCTTGGCTGGACCTCCCAGGAAGCAGCAGCCAGGCCAAGCCCCTGCCGGACTCCCAGAGTCTCCCCAAAACACTTCTGACTCGCAGGAGTCCCAGGCAAAAAGTCACCGTCCCCTGAGGCCGGCACTAAACCCACTCTGGAAGTGCAGCTGACTCACCCGTCCCCACACATGCTCCCACAGCAGGTGAGCAGGTCCTCCGCCGACACCTCCACGCTGACATGTGCATTGGTGTGGATGCAGATGCGGTCAGAAATGGCTTCTACTGCCCCAAAGGCCTGGAGGAACAAGCCCCACCCGGTGAGGCCGCCACGTCCAGGCTGGGCCCTCTCCAACAGTCCCCTCAAAGGCCCACGGGCACCTTGGACCTTCTGGGCAGCTGACTTCAACACGGGAGGCTCCTGGGGCTCAAACCCAGCTTTTTTTTTTTTTTGGGTAGCAGTGGGCTCTTGCTATGTTGGCCAAACTGCTCTTGAACTCCTGGCTCAAGTGATTTGCCCACCTTGGCCTCCCCAAGTGCTGGGATTAGAGGCATGAGCCACTGTGCCAGGTCAACTCAGCTTTTAAAGCAAGAGACCACTGCTGTGAGCCTCTGCCTGGGAGCCTGGTTCATTTCTGACATTTGTAAAACGGGTAGGCTTAAGTTTGCATGTGTGTTTTTGTTTTGAGATGGAGTTTCACTCGTTTCCCAGGTTGGAGTGCAGTGGCATGATCTCTACTCACTGCAACCCCTGTCTCCTGGGTTAAGGCCATTCTCTTGTGCCTCAGCCTCCGCAGTTGCTGGGATTATAGGCACCTGCCACCACCCCCAGCTAATTTTTTATTTTTAATAGAGATCGGGGTTTCACCATGTTGGCCAGGCTGGTCTCAAACTACTAACCTCAGGTGATCTGCCCCCCCCAGTCTCCCAAAGTGCTGGGATTACAGGCGTCAGCCACTGTGCCTGGTGGTAGTTCTCAATAAAAAAACACAGCTCACCCAGAAAACACTGTGACCCACGTGTATGAGGTCCCTAGGAATCAAAGTCATAGAGACAAAGTAGAGTGGGGGGCACCAGGGGCTAGGGGATGAGTGTTAATGGGAACAGTTTCCATCTTGCAAGCTGATGAGTGCTGGGGACAGATGGTGGTGATGGCTGAGCAATGTTAATGCCACAGAACTGTACACTTGAAAACAGATGCCAGGCACGGTGGCTCACACTTGTAATCCCAACATTTTGGGAGGCCGAGAAGGGCAGAGCACCTGAGGTCAGGAGTTTGAGACCAGCCTGTCCAACATGGCAAAACCCCATCTCTAGTAAAAATACAAAAATTAACTGGGTGTGGTGGTAAATGTGTGTAGTCTTAGCTACTGGGGAGGCTGAGGCAGGAGAATCAATTGAACTCAGGAGGCAGAGGTTGCAGTGAGCTGAGAACCCGCCACTGCACTCCAGCTGGGTGACAGAGCAAGACTCCATCTCCTCAAAAAAAAAAAAAAAATTGCTAACATTATTACATTTCCTATTACATGTATTTTACCACAATTAGACAAAATTAAGAGAGCTCGCTGACATTGATGGGACGCTTTCTTGAAGCAAGCAGAGTAGCAGTGAGGGCACCTGGTATCTGCAGACGGGGCAGGTGTCAGGGAAGGGAGCTGCTTCGCCGCCCGCACACATGGACTAGCAACCTGCAGGACGCTCTACCTAACCCTTGCCAGAATTCATGTGCAGAGGAATCGTGATTTTTACACTGATGGAAACAGACTTGGGAAGTTTCTGTAACTTGCCTTGTCAGAGTGGGCCCCACCCTGAATCCCCCATGCCTCCCGACTGCTGCTCCCTCACTCTCCAGCCCTCCCCAGCCAGCAGCAGCTTACCCAGCAGGAGCCGCAGGAGCCCTGGTCTCTGATCTCCTTGATGGTGGGACACTGGGGCCACTGTTCCCGTGCATCGAAGCTTTCAGGCAGATTCAGGTCCTCAGCAAACTTAACTCTGGATAAAGGAAGGCCTTCATTACAAGCTCTCATCCTACAACTGCCTCCCCAACCCCTGCAAAGGCCACTGAGTGGTTTTTTTTTTTTTTTTTTTTTTTTTTTTTGAGACAGAGTTTCACTCTTGGCTGGAGTGCAATGGTGCAATCTCGGCTCACTGCAAATTCCCCCTCCTGGGATCAGACGATTTTCCTGCCTCAGCCTCCTGAGTGGCTGGGATCACAGGCACGAACCACCATGCCCAGCAAATTTTTTGTATTTTTTGGAGAGATGGGGTTTCACCATGTTGACCAGGATGGTCTCGATATCTTGACCTCGTGATTCCACCCGCCTCGGCCTCCCAAAGTGCTGGGATTACAGGCGTGAGCCACCACGCCTGGCCACTGGGTGGTTTAAGAGCAGTCACTGTGGCTGTCTCCCCTAGAAAAGAAGTGAACACCAGACACGCAGAGAAAGCTCAGGCAGGTGGCCCTGGGGATTTCATAAAACAAGGAAATTCTGTTGCTCAATGCAACTTGAGATTTTTGTTTTGGGGACAATTTCACTCTGTTGTGCAGGCTGGAGTGCAATGGCGTGATCTCTGCTCACTGCAACCTCCGCCTCTTGAGTTCAAGCAAGTCTTGTACCACAGCCTCCTGAGTAGCTGGGACTACAGGCGTCCATCACCATGCCCGCCTACTTTTTGTAGTTGTAGAAGAGGCAGGGTTTCACCATATTGGCCAGGCTGGTCTCAAACTCCTGACCTCAAATGATCTGCCCCTGTTGGCCTTCCAAAGTGCTGGAGATTACAGGCATGGGCCACGGTGCCTGGCCTGACTTGCAATTTTGTATGCTGCTTTCTAGCCTTATGTAATAGATTTTTTTCTTTTTTGAGACAGAGTCTCTCTCTGTTGCCAGGCTGGAATACAGTGGTGCAGTCTTAGCTCATTGATCTGCCTCCCGGGTTCAAGCAATTCTCCTGCCTCAGTCTCCCGAGTAGCTGGGATGACAGGTGCACGCCATACTCATCTAACGTTTCCTGTTTTTAGTTTCACCATGTTGGCCAGGATGATCTCCTGATCTTGTGATCCGCCTGTCTTCGCCTCCCAAAGTGCTGCAATTACAGGTTGAGCCACCACGCCCGGCCTATGATTTTCTAATGAGTTTATCCACAGGGTCCAGATAGTGTTTCTTGCCCCAGTCCCCTCCCTCAACAACTGCCCAGGACCCTCTCATCATTTGTCATATCATCCCCACTGTGTAGGTGGCAGCATCCCGCAACTTTACCCCATCCTCACAAGGGAAATGGCACAATCCTCGCTCACTCCAACCTCTGTCTCCAGGGTTCTTGCAATTCTCCAGCCTCAGCCTCCCAAGTAGCTGGGATGTACAGGCTCCCGCCACCACGGCCGGCGAATTTTTGTATTTTTAGTAGAGACGGGGTTTTGCCATGTTGGCCAGACTGCTCTTGAACCTTCTGACCTCAGGTGATCCACTGGCCTTGGCATCTCAAACTGCTGGGATTACAGGCATGTGCCACTATACCTGGCCTCATCGGGCTTTTCTTAAGATTTTCCTTAAATTACTCAAGATTGAGTCTGCCCAGAAAGTGCAGAGCCAGACCTAGTCTGTCACACGTGGGGCTGAGACCCCGTGGAGAAGCACAGGAGAAACACTGGAGGCTGGCGCAGTGGCTCACACCTGTGATTGCAGCACTTTGGGAGGCTGAGGGGAGCAGATGACTTGTTGAGGCCAGGAGTTCAAGATCGGCCTGGCCAATATGGCGAAACTCCATCTCTATTAAAAGTACAAATATTAGCTGGGCATGGTGGTGAACGCCTGTGGCCCCAGCTACTTGCGAGGCTGAGGAACGAGAATCACTTGAACCCAGGAGGCAGAGGCTGCAGTGAGCTAAGATGTTGCCAGTGCACTCCAGCCTGGGTAACAGAGTGAGAGTCTGTCAACAAAAGAAAGCACAGCATCTTCTCTACTAATAACTTGAGAAGGAAGAAATAAAAAGAGAAAGTAAATAATACAATAATGAAGAGAGACGGGTGCTGTACCTCAAGCGGCACTGGCAGCTCTGGGCAGCATGAGCCCCGCAGATGCAGGGAGGCCCGCACTCTCCCACTGCCCCAAACTAGCGCCTGCCATTCCCATTACAATGGTGCAGAGGAGCGGGCACTCACCTCTGGGGTGGCTTGGGCCCACCCAGGAAGGTACCACACAGCCTCTTCAAGTAGCTCAGGTCCACGTTGTAGAAGTTGTGCCCAGCCTGGAAGAGTCATCCACCAACTGACGGGTTTCCTGGGATGGTGGTAGATGGGCACACTGCCCATACCCCAGGCCCATCCCAGGGAAAGCCAAGGGCCCTACCCACCTTGAGGGTATGTGGGCTGGGGGGTCAGAGGGGAACAGCTCAGTGTGACATGTGGGCAGAGTAGGTGTCTCCCCTGATCTGCTACCACTTGCTGACAATCAGAGACCCCCTCCAGCCCTCAACATGCTCACTCCTCATTCTTGCTTCTTAGTCCCAGGGTCAGGGCTGGGCAGAAACAAAGGGCATCAGGGGCAGGACCGATGAACTCTGCCACGATGGGTGTCACAGGGCTAGCTGGTTCTGAACACTTCCCAAGCTCACTTGCTCCCCCACACCACACGTAGGGTATGGGACAGAGGAGGCAGTCGCGGCCCACAGCCACCATGACTCAGGCCAACCTCAGAGGGGACACTGGTAGAACTCGGCCTCACAGCCCACCTGCCACGTGGTGTTCTGTTTGTTGACATAGTTGACCAGCTCGTCCGACAGGGGATGGAAGGAGGGCCTCTGCCAGGCGTCGGCCAGCGCCAGCAGGCAGCAGAGGGAGGCCCAGAGCCGCCACATGTTGGAAGCCGGATCCTGGATCCACCTGGAAAGCACAGAGGGCATCAGGAAACCTCTTATGCGGCTGTCATGCCCACACACACGGGCACCAGCAGACCTGTGCTTGTCCCGGCCCAGGTGGAGAGCCCTAAGGAGCTGCGGTGCCCGAGGGCTCCCTACCTCCCCACTCCGGCACCAGCACGCGTGACCTTGTATAGGTCCCTGGGGCCCTGCGGACGGAGCCAGGAGAGAAAGCCCAGGGGCTGTGCTGGGCTAAACGGGTCCAGGGCCCTATCTGCTATTTCAGCACTGCCTTTGCGTGGGTGGGTAGAACAGCCTGAGACTTCCCAAGTGAGCGACAGGAAACAGTGGAGGGCATGCCTGTGTGGTTACGACCTGAGTGGAGCACCCATGCGGTAGGGGAAATGTAAGAAAAGTTAAATTCAGGAGTCCTAGGACACAGACAAATCCAGGAGACAGACAGACAAGCTTGGTGTGGGCTGGTGGAGGTGGAGGCTGAGAGGAGGGGCTGGGCCAGCCACCGCCCACTCCCGCCTGGCATCTCTGGTTTTTCCAGTCAGCCAAGGGCTCTGCTTCCAGCTGTGAGACGAGGCTTCTGGGAAGGCAAACTCTCACCTTTATACCTTAGCCCTTTGATCTTGGACTGGCTCATGAGTCACATGCCAGTGCCTTCTAGCTTGAACTCTGAGTCACCCTCTTAAGCAAGCAACTCCACAGAGGCAATGTAAGACTCCCGGGTGCCTGCATCCAGGGCTGGGGAGAGCTACAGCGTGGGGAGCTTGGGGGGTGGGGGGCTCCCACGGGTGGGGGAGGTGTTCTACCTTCCACCGTGACAGGTCGTCATGAGGGTCACAGGACTGCTCAAACTGCCTGGCACACTGGATTCTATCTGAAGAACAATTCAAACGTCATTGTTGCTTAAGTAACACTTCATCTGCGAGAATAAATACGTGAGGACAGCAGGACAGCTCTGGAAAAAAAAGCTCTTTTTTGGAGACAGGGTCTTGTTCTGTCACCCAGGCTGGAGTACAGCGGCACTATCTCGGCTCGCTGCAGCCTAGAACTCCCCGGTTCAAATGATTCTCCTGTCTTAATCTCCCAACTAGCTGGGATTACAGGTGTGTGCCACCATGCCTGGCTAATTTTTCTATTTTTAGTACATGTTAGCCAGGAGGGTCTTGAACTACTCCTGACCTCAGGTGATCCACCGGCCCCGGCCTCCCAAAGTGCTGGGATTACAAGTGTGAGCCACTGCACCCAGCCAGTGGAGAAAGTCTCTGACAGGAGCCCGGCCCTCTGGGGCAGCAAGTGTATCGTAAAACACCGGGTGATGCCCATCTACAGAGTGACCTACAGCCACTCAGCAGCACGTCCTCCACGGGGCAATCAGCACACCTAGGAGAGGCCAGAGAGGAAATGGGACAGAGATTGTGCAAGTGGCCGCCCAAAGGCTGAATCTTCACATTGGACTCCTCACCCACAAAAAGCACCACATGCAACACAGATCCTAAATATAAAAACTTTATGAAAAAAATCAATGGCCTTCTAAAAATGGGCCAGGCGCAGGCTCACGCCTATAATCCCAGCTCCCTGGGAGGCTGAGACAGGCTTGAACCCGGGAAGCGGAGGCTGCAGTGAGCTGAGTTCATGCCACTGCACTCCAGCCTGTGTGACAGAGCAAGACCCCGTCTCCAAGAAAAAAAACAAAACAAGACCTGACAAACAACACTGATACATACATTAGGCTTCAATTTCTTGATATAAGAAAGGCTCTTAAAATCAGAAAAGTGGAACCAGCATAATAGAAAAACTACAATTGGCCAGCACAGATAAAAATCCGTTCAACCTCAGGGAGATGCAGATCAAAGCAAGGAGATACATGGCACGTATCAGACTGCAAAGGCAGGACGGTCTGGCACTCCTCGCAGGGCTTAGGAAGCATGAGTGCCTGGGGCGGGCACAGCCACCGAGACGGCAACCCGCAACGCCCACTGATTCCTCAATCTGCACGCCCTGGCACTCAGCAACCTGACAGTTACAAATGGATCCCACATATTAATAGGGATAGCACCATGTTCCAGATGGAAAAAAAAAAAAAAATGGGTCCCATAGAATGCAAAGATACGTGCACACAGGTGCTCACTAAATCATTTTTGCATTAGCAAAAGACCGGAAATGAAGCAAGTGTCTAATAACAGAGGAAATGTTACATTACGGTAAGTGGTTAAATAGAATATGAAGCAATCATTAGAAAAGCAACTATTTGGCTGGGCACGGTGGCACAGGCCTGTAATCCCAGAGCTTTGGGAGGCCGAGGCGGGTGGATCGCCTGAGGTCAGGATTTGAGACCAGCCTCACTAACATGGTGAAACCCCTTCTCTACTAAAGACAAAACAGGTATGGTGGCGCATGCCTGTAATCCCAGCTACTTGGGAGGCTGAGGCAGGGGAATCACTTGAACTCAAGAGGCGAAGGTTGCAGTGAGCTGAGATCTCACCATTGCACTCCAGCCTGGGCAACAAGAGTGAAACTCCATCTCAAAAATAAAAATAAGATACAAAAGCAACTAGCTGAAGTGAACCCTACCGTACTAATGAAGTGAAAATGCCCCAAGTCCCAGTGTTAAGTGGGGAAAAAGCAGCTGCGGGTGACTGGGGGCTGGAAGCATCCGACCCTCTTAGCAACCTACACCTGCAGGCACACGCCTGCCACCACACGCAAATGCCGAGGAAGACGCACAGCACTGGGTCACTACTGCGGGAAGCCTTTCTTCACAACATACCCTTATTTAAAAAAAAAAAAATTATGTTCCTATTACTTCAGTTTCATTTCTTCTAGGAAAAAGAGTTGGCAGTGTTACTAAACACCCCAAGTCACCAAACTGATGAAAGGACATCTGTTCTAATGACTCCTCAGAGCATTTCCAGTGTCTTCCTTGCCATCAGTGAGGCTTCCTCCCTCCTTGAGATGGGAGTCTCGCTCTGTGGTCCACGCTGGAATGCAGTGGCGCAATCATGGCTCACTGAAACTTCCAACTTCTTGTGCCTCAGCCTCGAGTAGCTGGGATTACAGGCCTGTGCCACCACGTCCAGCTAATTCTTACTTTTTTAGTATAGTCGGTGCTTCACTATGTTGGTGAGGCTGGTGTTGAACTCCTGGCCTCGGGGGATCTGACTGCCTCAGCCTCCCAAAGTGCTGGGATTACAGGCATGAGCCACTGACTTTCTGAATAATCTTCCCCTTTCCTGTAACTCGTGGGTAGGCAGTGTCTCATGTAGCCATGGGTGTCAGTGACCCACACAGCCTCCACACCATGAGGTGAGTGTGTCTCATGGGCAGACAGGAGTGTCCTCAGGTGTCCCTGGGGTCTTTGCGCTGCAGAGATGTTATTTTAAATAATAAGCGAAGCCAAAGATAGTAGTGTTTCCAGGGCAACTTGAATTTTTTAAACCAAGATTTCTTCGCTTTCTTTGGTGGCTGGGAACACAGGCAGCTCCCATATCCCAATGGCTCTCAACTCCCCAAAGCCAAGAAGAGTCTAATTAAAACAAGTTAGTTTTTCTTTTTTTGAGGCAGAATCTCCCTGTTGCCCAGGCTGGAGTGCAGTGGCACCATTATGGCTCACTGCAGCCTCTGCATCCGAGGTTCAACAGATCTGCCCCCTTCAGCCTTCTAAGCTGGGACTACAGGCATGCACCACCAGGCCCGGCCAAGTTTTGTATTCTTTTGTAGAGATGGGGTTTTGCTATGTTGCCCAGGCTGGTCTCAAACTCCTGGACTCAGTGATCAGCCCGCCGCAGCCTCCCAAAGTGCTGAGATTTTAGGTGTGAGCCACCACGCTCGGTAAAACAAGCTTTTCACTTCAATTAAGCCCAGCACTTAACATCCAAAAAGGCTTCCACTCTGAGGGTCCCAAGACTGCGGAGAACCCACAAAGTGTGAAGCCACGCACAGAGGTCCTGCGAGCAGCATAAGTTTCACTCCCACACCCAACAGGCGCCCCTCTCCATCACCCTGAACAAAGGCAGGTGGCAAAAATGACCAGCAGAGCTGCTGACGGGCTCCAGGGTCTCTGTGTGAGACAGCACCCCGCTTTCACTTCCCTCTGTGTAGGCACACACTTCTCTTATTTCTCAATTCTGCTTTCTAGGCTGCTGCTTTACTGACAGGAGATGATGAACACCAGTCCTTATTTCATGAGGGGAGGATGTGAACTGTGCGCCACGAGACCCCTTTCCAGGATGCGGGCTGGTGGGAGAACAGCTACAAGCAGATGTCATTTCTAGACCTTGCTCAGCTGGGGCACCGGGTTCTACTGCACCCCTCTGCCCTTTTCTGAAGCTAATCTCTGCATTAAAAAAAGACAAAGAGAGCCGGGCACGGTGGCTCATGCCTGTAATCCCAGCACTTTGGGAGGCCGAGGGGGTGGATCATGAGGTCAAGAGATCGAGACCATCCTGGTCAACATGGTGAAACCCCGTCTCTACTAAAAATACAAAAAATTAGCTGGGCCTGGTGGCGCGCACCTGTAATCCTAGCTACTCAGGAGGCTGAGGCAGGAGAATTGCCTGAACCCAGGAGGCGGAGGTTGCGGTGAGCCGAGATCGCGCCATTGCACTCCAGCCTGGGTAACAAGAGCGAAACTCCGTCTCAAAAAAGAAAAAAAAAAAAAAAAAAAAAGAGAGAGAGAAAGAAAAGGGTGCTCCTCACACCCGCCCTCTCCAAAGCTGCCGCGCCTATGTGAAAGCACGTCCCACACCAGCTCTGCAGAATGTTGTCACATGCCAAAAAGGGCATGGCCAGCTGACCCTACCAGCCAGAGCACCTTCCTCCCCTGGCAAACGGCACCTCAGACTACCTTGAAGGCGTTTCCAGGACAAACAGGGACCTTGAGACCCTGGAAGGAGGTGGAACTAACGTCACAGGAGAGGAGGTGGCTAAATCACAGGAGGTGTTAAGTCCTGACATCCTTAAAGAATCAATTTCGGCTGCCACCAAGCTCCATAAAGCAAGTTTTCTGGGGGG